GGTGCTCTTGTCTCCAGAGCGTTGCTCTGGTGACAAGAGCACCGTTTTCACCCCCCTTCCTCCATTCCAGTCCATCACACACGGATTCCCATGCACTCCCTCGCTCCCTCCCCCACCCTCTCCCTCCCCCATCCTCCGTACTGAAATCCTGCTTGGATTTCAACACAAAGGTTTTTCAGGCAGCCCCCAAAGCCCCATGCCTGTAACAGCTTCATGCTGAAATCAAAGCAGGATTTTAGCAGCTGCCTGAAAACGCCCTGTGCCAAAATCCTGCTTGGATTTTGTCCTGGAGCTTTTTCAGGCAGCCCTTAGAGATGAGAGGGAGTCCTTTTGGCAGGCAGCAGCAGCTTGCAAACTTCTTTGCCAGCTACTTTCCTGGCAGGTGGGAGGGAAGATTGCAAATGGCGATCACATGATTGCGGGGCACCTGGCAACTGGTCATAAGGGCGAACCAATTGCCAAGGGCCTAGATCGCCGTAACTTCAGGTCAGGTTGTAAGTCCCTTCGTTCAGTGCTGTCGTAACTTCGAATGGTTGCTGAACAAATGGTCGGATAACGAGGACTACCTGTATGTTGTTGTGCGTGGTATTCTTAGAGGCATAGGAGAATCCCTCAGTTTCAAATCTGACAGAAATTCCCTTGATCGTTTCAGCACTGAGCCAGCCAGATTGAAAGCTCGTGGTTTCCATATGAAATCAATGCAACAATCTCTGCGCACAAAAGAAGCAGCAGCAGCTTTGCATCATAATATGGTGGTCTTTAATATCAAGACATTAGAATATATTCCTCCCCCGAAATAGTAAATGCACAAAAGCTGTACACTGAATTGGTATCACTGTGAAAGAAGCTATTTTTCTCACATAATTTTTTAAGGCAAAGGTAATGTCTCTGATCTGAGGTTGCCTCCTCTCAGAATGATTTTAAACTTCCACGTCTAGCCTTTTTTGCTGGGATTCCCTGGTAGTTTCCCATCAAATATTATCCAGGCACACCCTTGCTTAGCTTCCAAGTTCAGTTATTTTTCATGAATAATTCATTTATTTTGAACAATGATATCTGAAATAATGTGTCCGCAATGCTCTGCAATTTTATTTTTTCTGAATGGTTTGTTCTAATTTTCTCTTTATTTCCCTTAATTTATCAAGGACAAAAAGTTACCATCCATGACAAAACGGAAATTAACTTGGTTTCCTTCCGGCGAACCATTTACCTTGCAATTCAGTCGAGGTAAAATGAAATATAACTCTCAGTTGAAATGTGACACCAGTTGCAGCATAAATCACAGGCCCTTTTGCAAGCTAGCACCCTTGATGACAGCGTGCAAAATGTTGGCTTCAATCCGAAGCACTTGTATTTTTTTTGGTATTGTTAGGAATGCATTTCAAAAGTATCTCTTACCAAACGGATTCCCTTCAAATTTGTTGGACTGCAACTCTTATCATTCCTGTCATTGAAGAGTTGCAGCCATATACACCTATAAAGCAACAAACTGAGGAAGGATTTTCAATTTTAATCAATTAAAATTTAATTTAAAAGATTCATACATTTAAAATGGGTATATCTGCACTTGTGGAATAAATGAAAATGGCATAAAATTGAAGATATTTACAAATGTTTTTATTGTCCTCTTTATATCAGTTATTCTATGAAATTACACTGTGAAAAAAGCCAGTGTTCTAATTTGTTTGCATACTAGACTTAGTACATTTCTGTTTAATATGAAGTTACAGTAATAATGACTCATAAATGAGAATCATCTTGTTTTTAGTCTGTCTGAAAATCTATTGGTTTTGGCTGCAGCACATGAAAAAAAAACATTTAATAGCTAAAATAGAATTATTTTTCAACAGAAATGTACGTAGCTGTTAAACTCTTTATGCTTTTTAATGAAATGTCAGGAGGAAAATGCAATGGTGGATTTCAGTGAACTGCAACCACAATATTGATGTATGCATTGCTACCTATGTACACTGTGTGTGTGTGTGTGTGTACGCACGCACACACACACCTTTGAGTCAGTGTTGACTCCTGATGGCTGCCTGGACAAGTCCCTGCTGTTTTCTTGACAAGATTTTTGGAAGTGGGCTTGCTATGGTCTTCCTAGGGCTGAGAGTGACTGGCTCAAGGTTACCCAGCTGGTTTCATGCCTCAGGCAAAACTAGAACTCCCAGTCTCCTGGTTTCTAGTCTGGTGCCTTAACCACTACACCAGTCTGGCTCGCATGTAAACTTACTTCAACAGATTTAAGTCCCAGTGACCAATGATGGTCTGATAAATCAAGTGACAATGAGTGTCAGTCTGAAGAGAGGTCCTGCATATGGGAAGTTCTGGAGGTTCTTGTACAGTTAAAAGGAATTCTTACATTTAAAACATTGGGATGTTGATGTCTTAATTCAGGCCTTTGCCTGAACAGTAGTTGAAACCAGCATGGCTTTGGTATTACCCCAAAGTCTCTTTGAGGCTTTGTGAGAAGCTTTTACTATATTAGGGATGAAAGTCAGTTATGGACAGATAAATGTATATTTTCTCTCTCTCTGTCTTTCTCTAGTTTAGATTTTGAGGAATGTGCTCACAAACTGCTGAAGATGGATTTTCCTGAAAGCCAAACAGTAAGTCTTAATTAGTTGGTTTTGGTTTTTGTTTGCTTTCCATTCCTTGAAGAGCATTTTTTAAAAAAAACCAGTTACTGACACAATCATGTTTTACATAGTATAGCAGCTGATGCCTAGCACAGGGGTTCTCCAACAATGGGTTATGTCCCCTCGGCATGTCATTAGCAAATTTGAGGGGGGTTGCAGAAAGAAGAATCTTTAGAAGATGAAAAAATACACTCCAGATATTAAGGATTGGATTTTGGAGGTGTGTGATCTAGTCATTTTTGAGAAAATTATATATTCTGTCAATCAGAAAATGTCGTATTATTTCTCCCTTTGGAAGAAATTCTTGGACAGGCTTGGTGAACATTGAAAGCTTAGTTTCCCCTTTTAACATCAGGTGGTTTGGGAATATATTTGTAATTCTAAATATTTTTGATCTTTTTTATGTTTTTATTTGTTACGCTATGTTTTTTCTCTTTTTTCTTTGTGGGAAGCGAATTGTTCGTTTTTATTTTATGTATGTTTGTTTGAAAATGGATTAATATATTTTTTTTAATTTAAAAACCCACCTGGTATGCACCCCCTGATAAAATCTGCTTGTGGTTCTCCATACTGGGAGGTTAATGGTGCAGGGGCATGCAGATTATTTTCCTCTGTTGCGGCGTTTACGCTATGAACAACCTTCCCCTTGTGGCCAGGTTAGCCCCTTCCCTTATGGCTGTCCAGAAATTCATGGAAACAACTTTTCTGGAAGGCATTTGGGGGAATGATGAGTGGATGATCTCTGAGTAGTTGCATTACTATTAGTTTGGTGTTGGTTTTCTGTTGCTTCATTCTTGAAAACCATTGGGGGTTTATGTAGATTACAGCAATGAATCAAAAGGTGCTGTGATCTGGGCTGGGTCACCTTTGAAAACTCTTGGGAGCAGGTTGAGAGGCTGTTGAGAGTGACCTTGGCCCCGGGAGCAAGTTCTGATAGAAATCCAGCTTTGGGTGCTGCACCTCTCTTAAAGCACAGTCTTGACAATTTTATTCATGGGGTGATCAAACAAATTTATTAATTTACTGGGTCATGGTATCACAGATTTTGAACATACCACACACATTGGTTTCACAATTCATAAATTATGATTAACAGGTCATCTTTTTTATTTGTTATTATTATTATATGGGTAATCTACAATTAGATTCACAAAGACTGGTGAAAACTTAATATTTCAAGTACTAACCAAGGACCTAAGAATTTTTAAGGTAGGCAGTTCCAAGCAGGGTATTTTTTTGTAAAATCAGGGTGTTCAGGTGTTGTTGTTGTTGCCAGTTTGGTGTAGTGGTTAAGGTTCTGGGCTAGAAACCAGGAGACACTGAGTTGTAGGCCATCCTACATGAAAGCCGGCTGGGTGACTTTGGGCCAGTCATTCTCTCTCAGCCTAACCCACCTCACAGGGTTGTTGTTGTGGGGAAAATAGGAGACAGGAATATCAGGTACAGGTAGTCCTTGACTTATGACCATTCATTTAGCGATTGTTCAAAGTCATGATGGTGCTGAAAAAAGTCACAATTGATCCTCGCACTTAAAATATTTTTATTAGAATTTTACATGTTAAAAGTTAATATAAACCTAGAAAAGATATACAAACAAAAAAGAAAAAAGAGAAAAGAAAGAGATATAAAAGGTGATTTCGCCCTCCCCCCAAACAAGTATAAAGATTTACAGTAGCTTAAGACCTTTTCTAATATTACAAAAAAACCTCTTCTTCCCATTTGTCATCTCTTAATAATAGCCAAATTATAAAAAATTAATCCATCAGTCTTACACAGCAAAAGCAGTAAGAGTACCAGAAATAATAACCCATATATTTTAACCATAAATAAATCCAATATACATTTTAACGATAACTTTCTCTAGTAAGTAAAACATAAAGGATTTATCCTCATAGGCATAAAAAATACCAACAATAGTAACATAAATATCTTAAACTAAATGAAATTAGTCCCTTTTACATTCAAACCTATAATTTTCTCTAACAAATAGGACATAGAAAGTTTATCTCCATATGAAAAAATCTTTAAATCCTCATTATACATTCCTGGTCATAAGAAAGTTTCCAATAGTAGCAGCCGAGAATCACAACTTACACAATTTAACCCTGATCAGATAAGTCCACTTTGAACTCCTTTTTCTTCTTTTTAAGAGGCTTGATCTTCAGTTGTTTCTTCAAATAAAATCCAACATAAAGATCTCTTATCATTTTTTCTCTGTCTATTTCCATACTTCCCTTCTGTGGATCCACATTTCATAAGATGGCTCTCAGAGTCATCCTTCTGATTTATAATCTGAATATCCCCTTTAATTGTTAAAACATCATCCACTATAACTTTTTAAAGTCCATTTTAAAATCCTATTCAAATTATCTTCAGCCTCTGTTTTATCTGACAAAATATTTTCTTCTTCTATAACAACTTTAAAAGTATCAGAAAATTTTAAATATAGGTCCTGAACACATTGTTCCCAAGCCGACTTAAATTCTTCTACAGTAAAATAATGTTCCTCCATTGTGTTAATAAGGTTAACCTTCAAAGCCCAGTCTTATCTTTTGTTTCTTTTCAGAGTGAAAACTTTCCCACAGTAAGGATTCTTACAATTAATTCTAAAATGATCAGCTGTGTTTTTATAAAATTTAAAACAGTCCATATAAACTGTTCTTTCAAATCCATCTGGCCCCTTAACTGTCCATAGTGAACATTCTAAACTTCCTTTTGTTGTTTCAAAAATTACTTTTTTTCCTTTTAATCTTTAAACTTACTTAAGTCTTCTTTCTTCAGGGATAGAAGGAAATTCTCCTGGTATGCAGCAACTTGCCTTTCAGAAGGTTTTTAATTCCAAATAAGTTGTTAATAGATAGTTTCCATTGTCAATTAAAAGAGGAAGTGTGAGGGAATCTAATGTCCTTTTGAAGGCTCCAAACCACAGCTTGGGTTCGATGTTTCCTGCAACTCCCAGAGCACTCAACCCACTGGAGATCGCTAATTTGCAATCTCTTCACAGGGAGATTCTGTAAGGAGTAATTGTAGGTGATCCAATCATCTCCTTTATTGGATGGTTCCAAAGAGCCGGATCCTTCGCCAGCTCCTCTTAACTGCCATGGCCATCAGCTTCACAAAAACGGAGCCATCTTCAATCCGCCATTACTCCCCCAGAAGTCTACTCAGTCCTTGCACTTACGACTGTTGCAGTGTCCCCACAGTCATATGATCAAAATTTGGGTGCTTGGCAACCAGCATGTATTTACGATGGTTGCAGTGTCTTGGGGCAACATGATCACCATTTTCAACCTTCCTAGGGAGCTTCTAACAAGAAAAATTAATGGGGAACCATCTGATTCACTTAACAACTGTGTGATCCACTTAACCACATGATTTGCTTAACGACCACTGCAAAAATGTTGTAAAATCGGGTACAGTCACATGACACACCACTTAGTGACAAATTTTCTGGTCCCTATTGTCAGAAGTGAAGGACTACCTGTATGTTCACCTCCTTGACTTATATGTAGAAAAGGTGGGATAAAATAAATAATAATAATAGTAATAATAGTAATAATAATAATTAAAAAATATGATGATAATGATAAGTATTTACTGTCAAGAGAGCCAGTCTGGTGTGGTGTTTAAGGCATCAGGCTAGAAACCAGGAGACCGTTAGTTTTAATCTGGGCTTAAGCACAAAGCCAGCTGGGTGACCTTGGGCTAGTCACTCTCGCTCAGCCCGGGAAAGTAGGCAAGGGCAAACCACTTCTGAAATCTTGCCAAGAAAATAGCAGGGACTAGTTCAGGAAGTTGCCAGGAGTCAACACTGACTTGAAGGCACACATACATACAAAAAAGTCATGTGGTAGATAATACAGTTAGTAGAGTTGTTGAATTTTCCATTTTTTCCAGGAACATGTACTCCAGGTAGAATGTACATAAATATTTTCTTTGCACAGATTTTTCTAATGCATGAAAAACACTGAAGTTGAACAATTTTAATTGTGAGAATATATTTCTAGAAAAGTCTGTTATGTAAGTGTAAACCTGTGCTTATATTTTGCTGACACTATTATTAAATGTTTCCACCAATCTCCTGCTAGAACAAGTTTGTGTAACTTTCCCAAAATAATGGCTGGGGCTAGGGTTGAAATTAAATTTGATTTAATTTCATTTGTATTAAACTTAATCTTAACAGATCTGTATTTTTAATGATTCTCCACTCTTCTATTTAATAGTTTTCCCCTTCTGTCAGTTAAAAATGGCAGCTCTGGGAAATTTCAGGGGAATGTATCCAAAAGAGAATCATGAAGGAAACTAGAACTTTTAACCTTTTCCTGCCAGAAGGAAATGTGTACTTTCACTCCATCTTTCTAGCAGCCAAGGAAAACAGGCTTATGCCTGAATCAGAAGCTTGCGAGGATTGTTTGACACCAGTATCTCCCAATCTTGACAACTTCCAGATGTGTGGATATCAACTTCTAGAATTCTCAGCAATGGCCATGCTGACTAGAGAATTTGGGGACCTGAAATCTAGAGATCAGAGAGGCACTCAGGTTGGGAAATCTTGTCTATAGACCAGTGTTTCTCAACCATGGCAACTTGAAGAGGTGTGGACTTCCACTCTCAGAATTCTGGGAGTGGAAGTCCACACCTCTTTGAGTTCCCAAGGTTGAGAAACACTGGTCTATAGACTATCTACATGTGCATAGTAATAGAAGGTGAAGGAAGCACACTCTTCCTGAGGCTTGAATCCTTCATGAGTCAGGGATTAATAGTTTGTGCTGTGTGAAGAAGCCTTGAGCTCATGCTCCCCTTCCATCTCTTCCAGCACAGCCACAAAGTGAGGGAAAGAATAGGAAGCACCTGCCTTTTGCTACAGATTGCACCTTTCATTGATAGAATTCAACTATGGTTTGTTTTAAAAAAAAAAAGAACAGGAAACTGATCATTTCAGTCTCACAGCTCTGTTGGAGGAAGAGTTATGAATATGTGCCTCCCTGTTCACATAGCCTTGAAATCATAGTTTAATACTGTATTACATCCAGAAACAAGCCACTCCGTGTGATTATATGCTAATTTGAAATATGTATCATGATACTCTTCTCTATTCCATTTCTGCCTAAATTAGTCTAATCACCACCTTTATGCCAGTATAAACATGACAACGTAAAAGTACCTAACAAAAGGGCACCTTCTTTCCTGGGGGGGGGGCGTATCCTCAGGAAGAGCTTGCCTAGAGCATAGCTGTTGATGTTATGTTTTCCTGACTAGATATAGGCAGCAGCGGTGTACCGATTAAAGGTGCTTATTCTTTGAACATACTTGTGCAGTATGCTAAGCCAGTGCTCCCCATCCTGGTGCCCTCCAGAGCTTTCAGCAATGGCCATGTTTGCTCAGAATCCTGGGGTCCATACATCTGGAAGGGAAAGCTGCCTTTTGTGCTTGTGCTGAAGCTTGTCAACCAAACCAAGAAATGGTTCCATTTATGTTTAACATGGAGATTCTTAACTGCAGTCTAAATCCATGGTTTCTCCTGTGGTTATTTACCTTTACAGTGTCTCTGTTAACAAAGAGTTTGTTCTCACGTCTGCCTTCTGGACATAGAACCTGCTGCTAAGACTAGCTACAGAACTGAGACTTTTCTGCAGCATTGATCTCTCTTTGCTGAACTGAACCTTTTCACCCTTGCAATCATGCAGGGGTTTAGGGAATATTCCTGCTCCCACTGCACAGTAGCTCCTGTCCCGATTAACTCATTATGCATCTGTATGTATGTATGTGTGAGTGAGTGAAAAACAGGGCCCATCAGGTGGCCAATCTGCAGTGGCTATGACAGTGGTTTAGAAAGAGAAAAATGTGTGTGCTCCTATGGTAAGTTTTATACATGAGCATTTGAGTTTAAATCTTCTATCCACTGTTAATATTAACCCATCCTTAGTGTGTGGTACCAACACACCCTCTGTTAGGGTTAGTGCTAGTTCTATAGAGAGAGAGTTAGTGCTAGTGATAGAGTTAGACGATTGTGAAGAAGCCTGGGTAGAGGTACATGCTTTACTTATATCGAGGCCAGATCTTATTGCATAACAAAGCTGTGCTAAGACAGTATGAAAAAGAGAACTATTGATTCATTGATTCATTGATTTGATTTATATCCTGCCTTTCATTCAGGAGATCAAGGTGGCTTATATAGCACAGCCTCCTCCCACTTTCCCCACAGCATGTTCATAAGGTAGGCTAGACTGAGATTGTGTGACTGGCCCAAAGGCACCCAGGGTACTGCCAGAGTAGGGACAAATAGATGAAAGAAGCAAGCTTCAGGATTGTATCCTAAAAGTTTGTTTCGTGTGTGTGTTTTGGGTGCATGTTTTTTGAATCAGCTAGATCTATATTGTAAATAATGAAATTACATCAGTATTCACTTAGCTGTTTAAATGAACAGAGACCAGAAAATAGGCTTATGAACAAGGCACTCAGTACAGTTTGGGGGCTGATAGATTGTACAGAAACTGGGCCTTTTGCTAATTTATCACCCATCCTGGGCCAACATTTTAAAAGCCTTGTTGCATTATTCATGCTGATAATTTAATGTCTGATTCAGCCTTTATCTATTTTTCTGTTCCTTTCAGGTAATTTTATTTGTTACATTAGAACTTCCAGCATTTACTGAATAAAGTGAGACAGAAAAAAAGTTTACAGGAATAAGAAAAAGGATGCTATTTGGTCCTTTATCTCTCCCCCGCCGTTCTCCCCCCCTCGATACTCTAGATTTTTGCCAAAGTTATCAGATTTGAAAACTCTTGGGAATAAAAACAGTTTTGATACTGCTACTTAAATCCATGTGTATCTGTGCACAAAATATAGCCTAGTATACTATAATATGAGAATGTTCTGTGGCTCCAAAAATAAAGGTTGCCTTTAACCAATGGGGGGAGGGGGGGCAGACATTTTTGGCCAATTATCCAGCAGTCCTTTCACTCTTAAAAAAGTTGCAAAATCAAAATTTTGCTTTCAATTCTGCAACATTTATTTACTAATAGTACTTTCTTACTGAATTAGTAAAATTATAGCCCTAAATTGCAGTTGTAGGGAAAGGGATGATAGCTTGCCTCTTCACTAATTTAATGAATCCAGAATAAGCATCAAACTAGGAAATAATTTATTGATTTAAAGTCAGTAAATTTATTGCCTTTAAGTCAAATAGAAGACTCTTAGAAAATGGTCAGCAGAAATAAGCAAATGACAGTCCCAGAGGCAGCAGAATAGCAGCGCCATCAAAATTACCTGAGCGTATGGAATTTAACACTTTTCCACTTTTAATCTGAGGCATATCCTTGATGTTTACAGAAAGGAAAAGAGAAGAGGTAGAATCTGATGATAAAATTCCTTGGATTAAGTAGAAGGAAATTATGCTTTCCTGAAGGAGAACTTTAGAAATGACAAAGAATCTGCAGTATAAAATCTGTGTTTTTCTGTCTTTGCTGTTCAGAGTATGAAATGTCATTAGCTGTTTCTTCATGAATTGCTTTAAAGTGATGAAGCATCTGTATTACTGACAGGGTCTCATTGGAGATAGTTTGCCCAAAGGGTGTTAAGGTTGCCTTTTGGGAACTACAACTCCACAAATAATTGTGTGACCCCTCTGGATGTATTTATTTATGCATGCAGGGAAGTGGGGCGTTTGTTAAGGGAGTTGCACGTGGCCCAATATAGATGCATTGCTCCCCACATTTGACTCTGGGCAAATATTTACCATTATTCAACAGGTTTGCATGTTTCTCTGAGCAGAGTTAAACTACAGGGAAAGATGATCAGTTTTCACATCTGTATTGAATATGATTAACCAACATCAGCATTGCAGGATTTGCTTTAAAGGCTCGAAGTAGAGGGATCTAGTTAGCATTAACCATAGTGAAGCAGTAGAGTCAGTGATTTAATTTTGGCCTTTCCAGTTCAACAATATTTTCCTTTTCTTGTCAGATAGCTCAGTTGTGCACTCTTCAACACTATCAAAACCTTCACTGCCTCTTTCTCTAACTTTGCAACATACAGTTTTCATGGCAGTGCTAATTAGAGAAGTTTTCTGTACTCCTATGTTTGGAGCAATTTACTGCCTTACAGCAGTGGTGAGTGGAAATTGTGTTTCGTCTCACTGGTGGTGTGTTTGGAAAAGGCAGGAAGTAATGCCTCCTGTTGTTTCTGATTTCTTGGAAACCTCCCTGGAAGTGAGGTAAACGCTCACCTCTCTCTCATGCTTTCTAATACAGAAAGCAGGACAGGAGGAAGAAGTAGGAAGGATATTAAGAACTCTGAAGAAAAAAAGTCTCATCTCCAATGCAAGTGAGAATCTTTGGGGAGCTCCTCAGTATTGATCTGGCTGAGTGAAATTATTGTTGCCTGGATCTTGGTCAGTAATCTGTGTTCTCTTCATTTGCATCACAAAATGTTCGATGCTTTTGAATACAGTGTCTTGAAAAATCTATTTTTCCTTTTTTCCTGTTTAATTTTAAAGAAACTTTAGGCTTGAGTAGATTTTTAGTAGCCATAGAAAAGGTACTTGGTTATTTAGCTCCCAGTACCTTGATTAGTAATGTCTGAATAAATCATTCAACATAACTATATTCAAATCTGCATCATCATATATGCTGGCTTTAAAAATTGATATATAAATGTTTTATGTTCTTCTTTTTAATGTAAACTGCCAGTAAGGCCAGACGGTATATGTAGGATTCAATTATAAGAGTTGAACAAGTGGACCAGAAGTTGCAATTAATCTTTGAAACTGCAGTGCATCGCTAATGCAACTCTGTGACTCCTATCACATCATTTGTACCAAATAATGGGGAGCGAGACACTCAGATCTAAACCTGCCTATTTTGAATAAGCTAGTGAGAGTGACTTTATAAGCAAATCTGTTTTCCTGCACATGATTACTCAAGATATTCTGCTAGAAATCACGGGTAATATTTAATTAAAATGTTAAAATATTTAATTACTTTAACCTCTGGGGGATAATATAATGTGTTAACTGCTGTTCAGGGAGCAAAAAGTAATTTGTTCTTCAAGTCATGCTGACTTCATTAGCAACAGCATCAGCACTTTGCCCTGTTTTATTACATAAAATATGATTGACTGCAATACTACTCCAGTAGAACAATATACAAGTAAATATGTATTTTGATATATTGAATTATGAGTGTTTTAACTATCATGATGGCTGATCAATCACACATTGTGCTGGACAGAATATTTTAACAAGTCATTTGTCTTATGGGTGAGAGATTGGATATTTTTCATCTTTCTAACAGTAACTTTTCATGTTAAAAGTTAAGTGCATTAAGAGTTTCATGGCCCTTATATGTCAACTTTATTTATATTTTTAATGTAACACATGGTTTTTAATTTCTGCATTATTATTGTAATATTGCTGTAGAAATTTTTTAATTGAAAGCATTTTATTTCATGCGTACCATTTTCTTCCTTGTGACAGAAAGAACTGTGCAACATGATACTTGACTGTTGTGCTCAGCAAAGAACATATGAGAAATTCTTTGGTTTACTAGCTGGGGTGAGTTGCTTCCTTTACAGATTCCATATCCCTAGCCATGTCTTTCAGTCTCTCATCAAGAGAGCTCATTTACAAAAGTGCTTTCAGTATCAACTGGTAACTTTTCATTTGTGACTTAGCTGCTGTATTCGGAAACATGAAGCAGATAGAGAGGCACCATGAATTTGCATGATTTATTAACAGTGTGAAATAGTTCCAAATAGGTTGAGGAAAGGTAGCATCCTCCAAGATGTTTTTTGTATATGGAACTATGAGCATTTTGATTTCTGTATATGTCACTTCCAAGGGGATTCCCACCTTCCAGTGTGATTCCCACATTGAAGGCCTAGTAGCTTCAATGACCATGAGAGCAATGCTGGCTGGAGTGGAAGTTTGTGGTAGGATCATCTTTGGCAGTAAAATCAAAAGGGAGAAGTGAAGCTAAAGATAATCCACAAGAGGGCCTCTGCTAAAGTAAGGGAAGCCAGCCTACCTAAGAGAAGTTATTCTAGATTCTCTAAAGTGATGGTCTTTCCAGTGGTAATATACAACTGTGAAAGCTGAACACTGAGGAAGAGTGAGAGAAAGAACATAGACACCTTCTAATTGTCAATTTGGAGAGAGTGAAAAAAAATCAGTCAGTCCTAAGCCAAATACTAACTGCTTTCTTGAGGTGACAGTCAGCAACCCGAAAGTCATATACTTTGTGATGTGCACAGATGATGGCTTAGAAAAACTCCTTTGCCTGGCAATGTTGAAGGAAGTAGAAGGGGAAGGCAGTGGAAAAGATGGTTGGATAGAACAAGAAGATCACGGGAATGTCCTCTCTGCTCCCTGAAATTCTCCAGCTATTTATTGGTTAAATTGTCTTCCTTTTTCATTTAATCATCTTTAGAACCAAACCAGTATTTGAAATGTGGTTTTCTTTTTCTTTGTCCATTTAGTCCTAGCGTACTGCTGAATTCAGTTTTTTTTTCTCATTTGTTTTTTATCACTCTGTTTTTATTTTATTTTAGCGCTTCTGTATGTTGAAAAAAGAATACATGGAGTCATTTGAAGCAATTTTCAAAGAGCAGTATGATACTATACATCGGCTGGAAACAAACAAGTTGAGGAATGTTGCCAAGATGTTTGCTCATCTTTTATACACAGATTCGCTTCCATGGAGTGTATGTAACAAACGTTTGTAGCCTTGCACTATGCATTAGGTTTTTGATAACAGGGGTAACATTTTTTTTTATGTTTTGAACTCCTGCAGATGTAAATGGAATCAGTTAAAATACATCTTGTGAGTGAAGAATTGTATTGACTTTCACTCTGACAAGGAGCATGAGTGCTTGAAGGAGAGGATTTCACTTGAATGTAGGAAAAAAATTAGATAGCTTGTTTACTTGGAATCCAGACTTGGCTTTTAAATGAACTGAAAATGTCAAGATGGCCACTACATTACCAAATACTTACAGCAAGGAATATGCTACAGTTCAAGGAAAATAAAAATTCATCAGGGAACAAAAGAAAAATGTTTTTTCTTTTAGTTTATTTTAAAAAGGAAAATAATATTTGGCATTTAGTTATCATTTCTATTTGTAGGTCCTTGAATGCATATCTCTAAGTGAAGAAACTACAACATCATCCAGTAGGATTTTTGTTAAAATATTCTTCCAAGAGCTTAGTGAATATATGGGACTCCCTAATCTTAATGCAAGGTTGAAAGATGAGTAAGTAACAAATCATATTGTAAATTACTTTTATAATACCTGGTTTGTGACCATTTCTGTATATTCTTATTAGATCTGTTAACATCAAAGTTGCTAAGTAACACTCAGTTCTCAGAGTGAGTTAGTGTATCTTAATAAAAGGTAAAGTCTCCCTTAAACTCTTAATAACTTACATGGATATGTCCATGTTGTTTTCTCTGGCAACAGCATGGAAGGAGTTTGACGTTGGCTGCTTCTGGGATTTTGTTTTCAACTTTCAGTCTGTTGTACAGCCCTTGAAATCTCTGGTGTTCTCCCATCGAAGTATTAACTCCGCTTACCTTTATTGAGAAGCAATGTTTCTCGACTTCAGCAACTTTAATATATGTAGACTTCAACTCCCAGAATTACCCCAACTAGCATGCTGGCTGGGGGAATTCTGGGAGTTGAAGTCCACCCATCTTAATGGTGCTGAAGTTGAGAAAGACGGAACTAAGGTAAAAGTAAATGATGTCACCTGCTGCGACATATTTTAATACTGTGGCAGTAAGTATAACTCTGCCTGTGTAATATAGATTCCAGTAAAAATATGTGGCTTTAGCTTCTCTCACAACTCCTCCCCCTGTCATTTACAGAAGGGGGAGGGGTTGCCCCCACTTCTCCCCTCATCTCTCTTATTCTGTTTCAGGCTCCACCTGTCATCTCCATGCACCATCACTAATCCTTTTATTTCCTCATTGGATGGCAGTTGCAAGTCTTGCATGGCACCTCATTGGAACATGTGGGAGCATTGTCAAGTAACTTGATTAGGCCCTCTGTGCCTGCTGATTTGAAAGAAAAGTAGGGGAGACAATGGCAAACCACTTCAAAATCTTGCCAAGAAAACTGCAGGGACTTGTCTAGGCAGCCGTCAGGAGTCAACGCTGACTCGAAGACACAAACACAAACAAAATGCAAGATACAGCTAAACTACAAATAAAGCTAGGAGTAGAGAAATAATGATAAAAATGAAACAGCTAGGATTTGTTCCAGAAAGGGAGCTAAGGAATAGAAATGCCAACAGAGAAGTTGATCTTACTTCATTATAGTAAGACAGTGCCAGCTGCAAGTATTTGTAAGAATTTCAGTTTTAAAATGTAAACATTGTAACCAGAGTTTTCTGTATTTTTCATTATTTTTAAAAAGTTTTCTGCTGCCTTTCAGATCAGAAAGGATTTGGTTTTAGAATTTCTAACCTGTAGAAATTGAAATATAAATTATGCTTTCATAAAGGCAAATTACCTGAGTGAGGTTGCTATTTTTGTAGCAGATTTTGATCTTAGGAAAGCCACTGATACATAGTTCCTTCAGTGGTTGTCTGTATTCCAAACAATATATTTAAGAATTCTTTCCTATTTCTCTCCTGTCAATGTAGACTAAATTATATTTTCTTAAAGCAAAGGGACAAGGTAGAACACAGGATAAAAGTTGGCCCTCCCTCTCCAAATACCAGCCTTCATCTTGCCAACCATCATTATTTCAGTGTTGTCTAGTTTTCTGAATTTGCCCTTCTCTAGGACCAGACAGTGAATGACACAGCAGGACTTTATCATAGCACCATCTTTAATTAATTGATGAATGGCTCTTATTTTTCCCACTGATCTGGTATTAGATAAAGAGCAGCAAATCAATCCTTCAATATCTTGGGAAGTGTAAGAAACATCAAGCCTACTTCACTCTCGCCCTCCCCCCAAATCCTCATACCACCTTCTTCCACCATGACATGGTGCCTTTTCTACATTTACCAGTATTGTCCTAAGACCTTACATGGGAGGAGTCTCAGTCTAATTTTAGATTCCTTAAATGGAGTTTTGTATCATATGTCTAAGATATTTTAGAAGAAGTAAAGCTAATCTTATTGAGCATAATACAATTTTAAAAAATTAAAAAGCATTAATATTGCTTTTCTCAAATTAGAGCAGGTATCAAAGGACTTTAAAGAATTGTTTCAGTAAAAAGTATGTTGAAGAATGGTCTGCATCTAGAGGAATTGCTTCTTCACAAACATGTATTCATTACTTTAGATCAGTGTTGTCCAAACTTGGCCACTTTAAGATGAGTGGACTTCAACTCCCAGAATTCCCCAGCCAGCATTCTGGGAATTGAAGTCCAGTCATCTTAAAGTGGCCAAGTTTGGACAACACTGATCTAAAGTAATGAATACATGTTTGTGAAGAAGCAATTCCTCTAGGCTGCTGCCCATCTAAAGCAGTGTTGTCCAAACTTGGCCACTTTAAGATGAGTGGACTTCAACTCCCAGAATTCCCCAGCCAGCATTCTGGGAATTGAAGTCCAGTCATCTTAAAGTGGCCAAGTTTGGACAACACTGCTTTAGATGGGCAGCAGCCTAGTCACAAAACATCTCTTGGCAAAGCTGATATATTGATTAACCTAACATCACTGACCTCAGGGAAGAAAAGGCTCTTCACACATAGATCCTGTGCATGGAGCAAAGAATATTTTTTAGCTTCATGCAAACATTTATACTGTATGTCCTTTTTACTTTGAAATAACAAAATTGATACATGTTGTGGATCATTCTGGGTGAAACATGGACAGGCCAAAGCAAAACCCAGATTGTTTAGGTTGATTCAGCTTTCAGCTGAGACAGATCCAAGCGGGGGGTGCACCTCACTCTATCTTCTGTGTGGCATGTACACCAGGCTGCATATACAGTTTTCCCCATGCCTTCTTCTGCGTTTCCTCCCTTTAGCCACTCCTGTACTGATTTTCAAGTACTGCACGTCCACCCAGCCCTCCTCACCCCATCTTCCATGTACCTTTCTTCCATGATGCTTGCACCCACACAATGGACACACACACACACACACACTCCTCCTCTTCCTTGGAGCATACCTTCCTGCCATTAGTTGTCTTTGTTTAATGGATTCTGAAAAATTCTTCAGATTGTATTCCTTCAAAATGTATGCACCTGGTAAACTGTATATTTATTGATGAAAATTAACTTCTCATCCATTCTGCCTAGTGAAGGATTTTCAATTTAGTAAAGTACAGATTTCTATAGTTGCAACTCTTGTGTAAATTAAGCTGATCTTTTTAAATATTTCTACACTGAGATCAAAATATTGTTTGTGTGCGCAGCATTTGAAGTTCTTGGAGTCTGAGGAATGATTGCTATGTTTGGTTTTTAATAGAACCCTGCAACCGTTCTTTGAAGGATTATTACCACGAGATAATCCAAGAAATACTAGATTTGCAATCAATTTCTTCACTTCAATTGGTCTTGGAGGACTGACGTAAGGAAAAACATTTTATTTTATATATATATATATACCTGCTTAAGTAGTTCCTGTGAATCTGTCAGATAGTAGGATCAGATGATATAAAGATCTTCGATCTGGCCATATGCATGTTAGGGAGTGAAAATATAGTCAGTCTTTGCCTCTGGTGTCCCCAGATATCCAAGGGAGACAAATGCACAAGCAAGGCCTATGAATTTGAAACCCATCGTATTTGCGCACAATTCTGTGAGATCAGTATTCCAACAGAAATCTGAAAATTGAAAGTATTACCTTATTCTCCATGTGTTGGTTCTGTTCAAACACTCTTACTAACATGGGCAACTTTTTCATCGTTGGAGGCCATTTATGTTGTGTTTTTTCAGTCCCCAAAACCATACTAGGAACTGGGAGGAATTGCAATTTTCTGCAGGCTTTATTCCTGAGTGGGTAGTAATATTACTCTAAGGTTTAAAGGCAAAAATACTGAAGCATTAAAGTCCTTAAAGACTACAATACTGAAAAATCACTCTGCTGATTCTCAATTGTGTTATCAGTATTAGGTAGACATCTCTTCTCACCAGACATGTGACTCTGAGGAGAAGGTATTACCCAAGCCAATTTACATGTTGCTATTGATTTCAAGTTCTCAACAAGAAATTCAATTCTGGATGGAACTGTGTTGACAGGGATTGGTAAAGTAATTCCTTATGAATTCAATGAGATTTTTTTTTAAAAAGGCTAAATTTTAAAATATAGGAGAGCGTACCATTCAACAACCATTAAATTATTTTTATATATTTCTATTTTGCTAAATTTGTTTAAATAGGGATGAACTACGGGAGCACCTGAAGAATGCACCAAAAATAATAATGACACAGAAGCAAGATGTAGAGTCCTCTGACTCATCTTCAGAATCAGATACATCTGATTCGGATGATGACACCAGCAGCAGTGAGACCTCAGGTTCCTCTAGTGGGAATGAGTCCACTTCAGACAGTAGGCACAGCAGTGACTCAGGTAAAGTTCCATCTTCAATCCATTAGTTTCGTTTAGTGATGGGCCATTTATTCATGTAGACTTTCTTTTGTTTTAAGGTAATTTTACATGTCTGAAATCTGCAAACATTGCAAAGTAATAAATTGCCTGACTAAAAATGCAATGGATGGTACATATAAATCTTTTCAGAAACATCAAGATAGGTTTAGATAGAAATGTTATGCCATAAAATGGTTTATTATTCTGGAACTATGGAATTAGGGATTAACCAGACTGAAGCCTGTTCTCACCTCAGTTAGAGGATTATGAGTTCTCATATGTCAGGTTGCTAATTTCAAAGTACAAACGCATATAGAAAGCAAGAAGTCTTGAAAAATTAAAAGGATTTTAAGAAATCCTTTTCTTAAAAAAAATGGAGGGATGTGAAGACTGATGTGATAGAGACAACAAGGACACAAAGTAATTAATTTTTCCATGTAGCAGAATCTACATATATTTATAGTAAGTCATTGAGTCACTCATTTGGGCCTACTCCCTAACCAAAATACAGGTGGTCTTGAGGTTACAACCACTTGTTCAGTGACCATTCACACAGTGGTGCTGAACAAGTGGTACTTACAACCAGTCCTCGCAGTTCTGGCCATTGCAGTGTCCCTGCAATGATCACGATTTCCAATGTTCCCTGGCAGCTTTCCACAAGCAAAGTCATTGGGAAGTCAGTCAGAAGTCGCGGTCACTTAACGACCCACACGGTCCTCACATAACATCAGCAACTGGGACTGCAGCCTCTAAGCAATGCAGTAATGTAACATTGCGCTTTACGGCCACGTCACTTAGCAACAGCAATTGCCATCATAATCCAAGGACTGCCTATAAGTATTTTGGTATGACAGCCTTACTATACTTGTTTAGCGTGGTTAGCTGGAGAGAATTCTGATCTGATCTGTTCTCTTGATTTGTTCCCATAATTCCGGATTTACTACATTCTGAAATTCACTTCCTTTTCATCTTCTTTAAAAACACTTTCATGCACACACCCCAAGCAAGTGATAACATATTTTGGGATTATGCAAAAACAATACATTCAACATTTTAAGCTGTTTTGTGATGAGATATAGATCTGCTAAAGTATACACGATGAAAACACCACGGGGAAGCCCTTCAGGCATTGCTAAAATGGATTGAGCTTTATTTTATTTGCCTCTCATTCATTAAAGATATGATGCAGCTCTTTTTCTTGTATATATGTGGTTTGGTAGAAAATATTAATGGTTATGCATAGGTTAGTGTAATGAAGACCAGTGCAATACAGCTTATTTTACATTTTATTACATTTTATCCTGCTCTACTACGATTTATTACCTGACAGCATGGTACTTACAAATTTCCTTCTTATATTTACTATTTGGGCGCAAGTTGTCCTGCTTATTTTTTTTTTCAACTTCTTACCATGAAATATAATGAATTTGTTACTTTACTGGTAGACCATTCTGGAGCATATTAGAGGTTAATTGTAAGAGCAGATGATAGCACAGCATGAGTTTCTGCAGTGAAGAAGCATTTCAAGTAAATTGGCTATATAGATGGGCTGAAGAGCAAAAGTACAGGTAGTCCTTGATGTATGACGGCAGTTGGGACCAGAATTTCCATTGCTAAGTGATGCAAAGCACAGCTGCCCTGCTTAGCAATGGCAATCCCTGCAGTCCCAATTGCCGTTGTTAACTGAATTCCATGGTTGTTAGATGGGCCAACTTCCTGCTGGCTTCCCACATCCAAAGTAAGTGGGGAAGCCGGCAGGCAGGTAAGTGGGGGTCGGGGAGGGTGCGCAAGGGTGCGAGGAGGTGCACAGGAGGCGTGGGTCAGGGAGGGGGTGCGTGAAAGGTGCAAGTTGGGGAGGGGGTGAGGGCATGCATGAGGCATGGTGCAGGTCAGGAAGGGTACGTGTGAGAGGTGTGCAGGTCAGGGAGGGTGCAAGGGGGTGTGAGCAGTGCAGGTTGGTGAAGGTGCAAGGGGGTGCATGAAGGAGGTGCGGCAAGGGTCGGGGAGGGTGCATGGGGGACTGAGTGGCTTGCGCAGCACGAGTGCAGAGGGGCTGGAGGAGGGTGCGTGGGTGGGGGAGACTTACCCCATTGACTTGTGACCTTCCCTGCCAGCAGGGAAGGTTGCAAATGGTGATCATGAGATTATGGGGCACTGCAACTGGTCGTAAATGCAAATCAGTTGCCACGCACCCACATCGCAATCATGTGGGGGTCCTGGGATGGCTGGAATTCCAAGGACTGGTCGTAACCACCATTCATTCAGCACCGTCGTGACTTCAGATTGCTGAACGAATGGTCATAGGTCGAGGACTACCTGTATTTTAATTCACCAGTATAGAAAAGAGGAAGAATGTATGGAAAGAGGCTGTCTGTAATAAGTGGCAGGTTTGCTTTATGTTGCTATTACTAGGCATCTGATACATCCGTTGTGCTAAAAAGCTAAAATAATGCATCAGGGTCAAGGATGTGGCATTTCATCTGAAATCCCAATGCTCATGCATAGACAACTGCAGCTAGATAGCAACCAAAGAAGTAATACCTTGGCGACAAATGTACTGAGTTTCCTAGTGCTGTTTGTTTCTAATCGAATACAGTTGATTTTCTTTAATTTTTTTCTTTTCCCATTGAAGGAAAAAGGTTTCTGCAATGACGCATTGATAGTCTCAGCACAGTGTCCATCTTTTTTTTTTTTTTTTTTTTGCAGATTGTACGTAGAAATGTTGCCAAAATAATTAAGTGCAGCTTCATTGCTTAATGTGGGAGTGGATCAAACAGTAGAAATGGTCTATTTATTTCCAAAATAGCATTCAAACAATGCTTTTTCATTTCTGTATAATTCAACAATAATGAGGGTATCACAGTATTTCAGAGCGGGGGGGTTCTTTAGAATATTTGAAGAAGGCCTGTGCTGGGTTTTTTAACTGTTCTGGCTATACAGTGTGACCTGTCCAACAGAGATAATTATACTAGAGTTTATTATTTCATTTTCAGCAATAGTGAAATCTGATGTGCATAAGCAAAGTCCAATTCTCGTTCTCATTCTATCATATTTAGAAAGTTTTCAGCCTTCAGTTAACTATCTCTAATGTACTAATATGCTTTAAAGAATAATTTTTAGATGGATTCAGTTTTAGTTTTCTAGTACTGAAAATAAGGGGGTAATATTTTAATGTATTTTATTTGAGGCAAACTCTTAATAAAGCATATCATCAAAATATATAGTCAAAAATAGCAAATCTCTAGCAAAAGGAATTGTCGAAGGTATTCCAAAGTGTCTTTTATTATCAAAGAGTTCAGATTTTAATATTTTTAAGCTTTCATTGATCTCCCAGATTTCATGCCAAGTTCTGAATAAGCTGGTGCACAGGAATGATGTACTTCAAAATAGTGTATAAACTCTATATCCTCTCACAACCAAGGTACACAAATCTTTTTTGGTGCAGAAACCATATTATATAATTATCTTCTATGTAATTCAGCTGTCCTGTCACCTGAGATTACAGTATCTGATTCTTGCTGTTACTAAAATACTTCTAAGAAATTTGGCAAAAATTATTTTTAGTAGTATTTCAGTATTTTTGTTTGGTATGCACTTATATCTAAGCATAATACAAGACCTATTGTTTCTCCACAGCAGTAGCCCTGTAAGATAGGATGGGCTGAGAGAAATAACTACCCCATAATCACTCCATGTAACCTTCCATGGCTCTGGATAGGCTAGAACCTGGGTTTTCCTGCTCCTATTTAATACCTTAACCACTACACCATGCTGGTCCTCTGTTAAATAACAAATAGATAAGAAATATACAAATAGACACCTTAGTCACCTCCTGGTTGGATTATTGCAACATCCTCTATGTGGGGCTGCCCTTGAAAACAATTTGAAATTGGGGCATTTTGCAAAGGGGGTTTTTGGAGCAAGAAGACGGCAAAATTCAGCTGGGATGGTGGAGCACAGGGCGGCAGGAAGCCAAGAGGGCATAGATGGAGGGGAGTTAGGTTGGGGGGAGTTGAAGCACCCTTGCGGTTGTAAGTGTGGGCGGGCTACCAAATGCCCGAATTTAATCTCATGACTGCTGGGGCACTGCAACAGCCATAATTTTGGGCACCGGTAATAAATTACTTTTTTCAGTGCGTTCGTAAGTTTGAACGGTTTCTAAACAAATGGTGTTTTCAGCAACACCCACTTTTTCATCCAAACTAAACAGCAAGCTGCAAAATACAGTTTCAAATCAGATAAACCCAATGCTCCTCTTTTCTTTTTATATTGTAACACCTTATATTTAACTTATGGTTTTTCCCCCTGCCACACAAATTTTGATATATCCTTCATTGTTTAAATGGTGGATCAGTTGTCAAAACAGGTGTTGTCTGAAACAAAAATAACATTCTAGATAAAATATTCATCGTAATCACAGACATTCTCCCCAACAATGACAATTGTATTTTCTCCCAGCTTAACATGTATTTTTTAACCTCATTCCATGCCTTAACATAGTTATTTTGAAATAACATACAATTCATATTTGTCGTAGTGATACCCAAGTATTTTATCTTCTTCTCAATCTTAAAACCCATTTTATTCATCAATTCTGTTTGATCTTCTATGTTCATATTTTTGTTAACATCTTCATCTTCTGTTTATTAATCTTAAAGCCTGCTAATGCATCAAATTCTTTTAGTTTACCCATTAATGTTTCAATTCCCTTTAAAGGGTCTTCCAAAACCAGTACTAAGTCATCTGCAAAAGCTCTTAACTTATAAGTCTCTTTTTTAATCTTTACTCTCACAGTCCTCTCATCCTGTCTTATGTCTCTATTCAGTATTTCAAGAACCAAAATAAACAGAAGAGGGGACAGTGGGCAACCCTGTCTTGTTCCTTTTTGTATCTCACATGGTTTTGTTAGATTTCCATTAACAATTATTTGTGCTTTCTGTGAAGTATAAATTGATTTTACCCTTTTTATAAAATTCTCTCCAAAATTCATATCTTCCAAAAATTTGAACAGGAAAGTCCAGTTCAAATTGTCAAAGACCTCCTCTGCATCTAAAAAAATCAGTGCGGCTTGTTTTTCTTTATGTTGTTCCAAGGAAATGTCAAATTGTCTTGTAGGCTTTCCAGCTTTCATATAAAAATTTGTTTATGGGGTAACAGTGTTAATCTATTGCAGTAAAAACAACAGATTTACAGTACCCTATAGCAAGGAAATGTTTTATGTATAAGTTTTTTTCTGGATAAAAGGCCACTTGCATAAATAGTTGCCTTAAGCTACGGGTGTGAAGCCATGTGGTTGGGCTGGAGATTGGAAACAACAAAGTTTTGAAGGTACAAGAGGATTATTGCTGTTCATGCTAATTGTTTTTCTTTGGATATCTGCATGTTAGAAGAAAATCAAAACACAGATGGCACTAAAATGGCAAGATTTTAATTTAGTTGAATGATGTTATAGATGTTGAGATTCATTGGTCATATTTCCTAATCTGTGTATTTTACACACACAAATGTCAAATTTCAAAATCAATAATAATGAAATTAAAGTTGGCATTTCTGAGAGAAATGCAGATGGCGGGCAAGATCAATAATTCATGGGAAATAAAGACTTCTTCAGTCAGAAAACCTTTTGATAATAACTCATGCAATGAGATTGCTCACAGGGTGAGCAGAAACATTTCAGGTTATGGAGGTGAGATATCACATCTCTTTCTCCTGTATTATTCTCCATTCCTTGAGAGCAATTAATCAATCCTTTCCTACCTGTCCCACTTTGGGGGTTTTGAATACAAGCAACATGGTTTGACAAATGAAAAATTTAACCTTAAAGCGAAAGCCTTATGTTTTTTCTTTCAGATAAGAAAAAATCTCAAAAGAAGAAAAATTTGGATAAAAGCACCAGGAGAAAACAAGAGAATAAAAAGAAGAAATTTGAAAAGGAAAAAGAAAGGAGGCAGCCTGAGAAGGAAAACGGTGCTGGAAGAAACTCGGAGCGGAATGCTGACAGAAGCTCCAGTAGGAGAGAGGAAGCGTCCCAGAAACTCTCTTATGATAGAGATTATTCCAGTGATAGAAATAACTACCAGAGTGGAAAGGAGAGGAATCGAGAAAGAAATGTACCTTTAGACAGCAAAACCACCCATTCTAAAAAGAAAAAAGAAAGAAGGCATTCTTCTTCTGAGGACGAAGGGAGGGACAGACACCATACAAGGGACAGCAAGCTCCACAGAGGAGAGGAGGACAGATCGAAGTCCAGAGAGAGGCCTCACCGTTATCCCAGCCCCAGAGAGGCTGAGGAAAACAGCCAATATTCAAGCCAGTTTAAAGAGTTAAGGAGAGATGAAGGCAGGAGAAAGCACAGGAATGCTTCACCCTCCAGGCACAAATGACTTGAGAAGCTAGGGTTTTAAATACCGCCTTGCCATTTGAACTGTCTTTTTACAGCTTATTAAACATTTTTTTAAAGAGAAACCCTTTGTACAAAATACTCCCAAACATCAGTGAGCCTTCTAATCACTGTTAATCGTTGGAGCTTTCTGCTAAGCTGCTGCTTAGAAGACTTTGAGTCCAGGAGGAATCAAAGCCCGGTTATTTTGCCAATAAAACAGTTGCTTTCACTGGGGTATTAGTGTGCTGTAAATATTTCTTCTTTAAATTTTATTTGTGGTCTCTGGAAGTGCTAAACATTCCTTCCTTTTCATTTTTTGGATGATTTTCAGATTTCAGTACAGATTAAAGTTTCATTTCAGAAATAACATCTGTGGGGTATTTTTTTGTAAATTTCAGACTAAAATGACAGTCTTTTGAATTTGACAATGAAAAATAGACCCGTGTTTGGAAATGAAAGCATTACCAATATCTGTCATGGTATATTGGTCACATCTAACGCTGTATATACTTGAGGATAAGCTCATCCGTGGATAAGCAGACTCTCGAATTTTTAACCAAAATGCCATGAAAAATGTGCCACCCGCAGATAAGCCAATTGTAAAAATTAAAACGTATGAAAATTTTGAGGGTTAGCTTATCTGCAGGTGGCACATTTTTCATAGTATTTTGGTTAAAAATTCAAGGGTTGACTTATCTGTAGATGGGCTTCTATATAAGTATATATGGTAATCTTCATTTGTGGAAGGGACCAAGTTTTTAAAAAATGAGTCTTTTTCATCAGAATTTGGAGAAAGACCATCACACAAATCAGTGTAAAGAACAAGGTTGATGAATCATATATACTCTAGATGAAAAGCAATTGTGAATACACAGCAGTAATAAGTTGGCCCTTGTTATGTTATGCTTCTCTTTAGAATTTAAAAATCTGAAGTTCAAAGCATAAAAATGTTAAAATTCCCTTCTTGTTGACTGAAAAAGGTCTTTATTACAAAAGCGGAAGCTGAATAAGAACTCATGTGACAGGATTCCTGGACGTTGCTTTGATGATTTAATCATAAAAGAAGATTATTTCTTTAAAAACACATTCAGAGCATGTGTATTTTTTCACTTCTGCTGAAAAATATATAATTCTGGTAAGAGCTGTAGTTGGTGTTTTTAAATTACTGCCAGTCAGGATTTGAGGTGAACAGTACTTTCATCAAATCTCTATATCACAAATTGTTTTAAAAGGCTTTTGTTAATGGAACAGATGAGAGTTATCTGTTACATCAAAATCAAATACATAAAAGCAATGCCAAACTAGCTGTCAATTAGCTCTATAAATAATAGCATTGTTTAATATTTCCCATGAATAATTGTTACTAAAGGAACATGCGGGCAATCTATATAATTTAAGGCATTATAGGAACAGAGCCATATTGATACAAGGTAGTGAAAAATTAGGAGTCTGGTAGCATTTAACATTGTTTATTAGGAGACAAAACTTTTTTGAGTTGCAAATCACTTCATCAGATGCACAGAATAGCTGCAGCTCACAAAAACGTATGCCTTTTAATACAATTTAATTGGAAAAGGTGCTACTAGACTCTTTCTACCCAATTTAAATATCATTGAGGATAACACAGCAAAAAGTTATATTTGAAACTGCAGAAGTTATTTTACTTTATCAACCGTAGATACACATTTGTACTCAAATTCATTCTTTTTGCTCCTTAGTTTTTGAATTGTTTTCATTCATTTAAAGCCACTGAATCCTGTCAGGAAGAAAGATCTGTTTGGGAGGATAGAAGGGAATTTTGCCCCTTTCTCCTATTCCAGAGTGGGACACTTGCAGCCTGGGATCCAGATTCACTTTCCAGATTTGGAATCCCCCAAGAGGAGGCCTACATCATTTACTGAAAGCACGTACAGAGAGCTGGAAAGAGCTCTGAAAAAATATGAAATGCGATTGGGGAAATGGGTACACGTGGTTTCTCCTGCCTACCCTTTCAATGGGCATTTCTCCCACATCTCAGTCCATATGGCAGCATGTGCAAAAGTTCAGGACATAAAACGTTAACATTGTTTTTCTGCCGGATCACAGAACAGTCCAATCATTTTGAATTTGACAGAAGCATAACATTTTTGAAAGGGCTCAAATCAAAACACATTTTCTATTTCACACACAACCACCACCACCAAAGAAACACATTTGGGTTCCAGCCATTCATCTTCACAGTGCTTCAGAGCTGCTTGGTTTTGCTGCCACAAACTGACCCAGCTATCTTGGTAAAACTGGAACGAATGGCACACAAATCAATTCAAGATACAGACCAAGACCTGGGATTTGACTACTTTTAGCAGCCTCTGCTGTTCAACCTGCCCAATTTTTTTGTCTTAAACTGTCACATCCACAACACATCTAGTTTGGAAACAGGTTCTGTTTTTTAGATATCTTGGAGGATTCTCTTGAAGAAGCAGTCCAAATCCAGTCTCTTGAGTGTCGGTTCTGGGTATATTTGTCACTGCATTAAAAATGTTTCCTATTTCCCCTGCCCCATATTTATTTTAGATTTTTTTTTTTAATTGGATTTCTCTCAACATAATATTTTTTAAGTTGGAGATGAGCAGGCTTATTGTTATTTCCTTGTTTTAATCTTTATTAAAATTAAGAATTGTTTTTAAAATATCTTGTATACTTTATAAATGACTAATAATGGATTTCAATCCCTGCTGTCTATGAGCTAATGGAGCTGCAACTCTTAGTGGAACTGATTCTTTACTGGCCTGCAACTTGCACGTCTCCCAACTTTCCTCTGGAACCCTGGCAGTCTACCTTAAGGAAAACACTTTTCTTTAGGAACTACTAACTTTCCATTTGAAACACAGAACTTTCTTGCCCCTTGAAGACCTCCAAAGCAAAATATTTCCATGAACCTTTGAGACTAAAAAAGTGCTTTAAACAGGTTCTGGTTTCTGTCCAATATTCAGTCTTCTGTCCAATATTTAACTCCCTTTGCAAAGCCAAGCTTTGAATGGTTAAAATTAAAAATTTAATCGAAATTTTCTCAGTACATTAACCCTGAGTAGTGTTCATCTTTTCTGAGCCTAATTGTATTCATTTAATTAAAAGGATGGTGGGATTTTCACCTTAGGTAAGCTTTGTTAGTTAATACAGTGAATTGTCACTGCATTTCTGTTTCTATGTCTGAACCTGGTAGATTTCTGCTGTACGTTTCAGATTTTTGCTCAGCTTCAGCTTTTGGATACTTCCCTCCAACAGCAATTGTCATTATCCTAACCATGACAGATTAAGGCATTTCTCATCTGTTGTCAGGAATAACCCTGTCACAGCCTTGATGCTGGAATAGAGAGAGTGACTACCTTCATATACTTGATTGATTGGATTTATGCTTGCCACACATTGAGAAGGCTCTCAGCAGGACATGCAACCTACTAAGCGTGGTTTGTTTAACCATTATGTACTGAACAAACTACAATTGAGCTTATAGAACATGCTATGTCATAGATCCTAGGTTACAAACCTCAGTAACTCAGCTCGCCCAGATAGAATCCAAACCTAAACTACATTATCACTTAGTCCAATGTGTGATGCAGCCTATGTCTGTGTGTTCTTTCAAATGTTGAAGCTGAGTGTACGAGATACGGAATTTATCAACAACAACAAAAAACTTTTATGATATTTTATCATAACCATTTGCAGTCCATTTGTGGTTCAGCATGTTTAATCTGTTAAAAATGAATGTGGAAACAAACTTTCCGTTAAAAAAAATAAAAATTGGCAAGTTTCTCATCTCATCAGACTAACTTCCATCTAGCATTTTCTTGTGTAGCACAGGTTGAATCACCTTGCCTCCCACCAACTCACTGTTTCAATGTGAGTGACTACACCCACGTGCCATGAGTCAGCGGTGTTCAACTGTGTGTCAGCTGCTGTTAATATAAATTCAAACGTGTTACATTGGTTTCCATTAAAATGTATTCTTATTTTTAAATATGCATGATTTGTGCATTCACACCAAATTATATGCAAATTAATTCTTCCTAAGTGATTTTTTCCCCTTTTTTTGCGGTAACTGACAACTCTAACCCCAAAACTTAGCTTGTATCATACTCAGAGCCAAAGTATCTGTGAAAATGCCATTTAAATCACATTTCTGTTTATAAATTGTTTTTGAAGAAAATAATAAGTGTTTCTGTGAACTGATACAGCATTGGTTAAAACTGAGCTTAGTCCCAATGCAGTCTTATTTCTGAATTAAATAAATGTGACTTGGATACTTACTTTGCTGAACTATCTCTGTGCTGTCATATAGATTATCAAAATTATATATCCTAAATAGGATGCCTGGAAGTGAGTTGAGTCAGGTTAAGTGAATATAACCCTGCACCTGACTATTTAGACAAAAGTCCTTTGTTCTCCATGAGCTTTTTTTCCCAATGAAAACTTCAAATGGAATTAAGTATTTCCCCATAGCCTCATCTAAACACTGCTCTAAAAAGGCCCAACGATGGATTTTGATGATTTTGCATCATGGATGAGTATGGCTATTTTTGTTTCTGAATGACTTGAGGTAAGCAAAAGAACTCCTGAACATGGGAAATCGTTTTTCAGGTTTTGCATTATGTGAATGGATAATTACTCTTATATAAATAGATACCCACCCGTGCATACATATGCATACACACAGTGAATGTTTATAGGAAGTTGGATTTCCCAACTTCATTTATAACTCAAAAGAGTCGGGATATTATGTAGATACTCTTCATATTTAAGAACGTAGGATACTGTATTCTTATATCAAGGAAACCTACTAAATAAAGATTCCTATAATGTGAGGGTCTGGGTTAACCAAAATGAATGAGTTATGTTTAATATTGTTACTGGTCAGAGAAACAAGCAGAATGGTGTAAAGTCTTATACTGATTAAGGATGCAGTTTTATACCCCCTCACCTTGGATCTCGGGATTAGGGATTAACTCTGTGCATGCGTGTAGAGAAGGGCTGTTTTAATGCTTTGTAACATTAGCTTTTGGCACAATATATATTAAACTTTCAGAGACTTTCTCCTACATTACTCTATTTTTATATCCTGCCCAAGAATAAGATTACAGTAAGTTAATTCGAGGTGAATGCAAACATCAAGAGGGGTCTTAGCCTTCAGTATACCCGTGGCAGCCTGCAGTCTGCCTTCCTTGATGACAAATGTGGCAAAGGGAAATTATTGGTTTGCACATAAAGGACAGAAAATTATACCTAGAGGCTTCATTCTGTGGGCCTGTATAATCTAAATGATTCCGTTTTACACTATTTATAGCAAAT